AGTCAGTTACGTCCCAACAACTACATTTTAACTCTACAGTTCAACCACCACCAGATCGCTGACCTTGCCGCTTCACTGATTCAAATTGTGGGACAATCACACTTCTTGTTGATTCAGCACCTACTGAGGGTAAAAAAGAAAAAAAAAAAAAAACTTCTTACCAGACTGTGTCCGTTTATAACGAGGGCGTAATCTCCGTCCACCTTCTCATCCTGCACCGTCTCAGTTTTGTGACTCCAGAAGAGGCCGGCACGAGCCCGGACCACGCTCGGCTCCTCCTCGGCCTCTGGACACATTTTCCTTCTCGCATTCCTGGAGAAGTTATTAATGAGTCATTTTCATCCCAGTTACTTTAAATATAATCAACTAAATAAAAGCGAGAACAGTCGCCTGTGTCCGTCTGACTCACTGCAGCTCCTCTCTGACTCCTTCAGGCGTGTTCGCTGCCACGATGAAAATCTCCTTCATATCCTCTCTCAGCATGTTGCAGGAGTAGCCGATGTTCTCCGCCGTCTCTGTTTCCAAACATCGTCACTTTTAATCCGTCAGTTCATTCACGTTTGTTTTCTCGTGGATTATCACACCAACCTTGTTTATCTCCGGTCAACACCCAAATCTTGATGTCAGCTTTAGCCAGTTGCTCTATTGTCTGTGGAACTCCGTCCTGCAGCTTGTCCTCCACAGCGGTCGCTCCCAGCAGCTAAAACCCACAGAGGAAAAATGTGTAATATGAAAATTATGTTTTTAGTAAAATTCTTTTAGAAATGTTTAAAGCCCGTCTCACCCCGTTTTTATAGAATCAAACGACAACTTAAAACCATCTCTCAGTTTTCCACAGGCGGACTAACCAGAAGATCTTTCTCCATTTCCTCGTAAAGTTCATCCAGCCGCTCCTCCCGTCCGTCCATGGCGGTGCTGGCCTCATGGTGGCGCTCTCTCCAGTTTTCCATGTAGCTCTTATCTATTTCCTTGTAGGCGAGAGCCAGCGTGCGGAGACCTTCGCCTGCGTATTCCTGGACGGTTCAGAGCAGTTACCAACACAAACCCCGACATCTTACCCACGTGTTGGCGCTGGATTGTAATTGACCACATCACTCACGTTCAGGTGACTGTTGGTGACATCCATCAGTTTCTTGCAGGACGGGTGGAGTCTTTCAAAGATGATGGTGTCCGCTCCTTTGCAGAACAGAGTCAACTTCCCCTCGGGGCTACGCACTGAAAGTCAGAGGGAGAGCAAGGTGGAGTCATGATGAGTCATCATCATTTAAACAAATGTCAAATCATTGGAAACATCTCGTCATCACTTCCTCTCACCTATGACCGACATCCTCTTGCGCACGTTATTGAAGTCAAGGACGGCCAGAAGTTCGTAGATGACTTTTCTGCCCATCTCGAAGACCGTGATGCTCTCTGGCGTACGTGAGCGGAACACGAAGCCAAAGTTTCTCGCCGCCGTCACCAGAGCGCCCTCGTCGGGAGACTGCGCCTGATAGTAGAGCTCTCCTGCCCGGAGAAACAGAGGAAATGTTTGGTCACTGGTAGAACAACCAGACACCATCAGAGATCAGATATGAAGCCGTGCAGTAATATAAACGTCCATCAGAGGACGCTCACCCTCTTTCTTCTCCTCAGGCATGACGGTGTGGCACAAAGCCAGCAGGCGGAAGAAGGCCTTAGCCTCAGGGTTTCCCTCCTTCACCATCTCCCCCAGACTGTGGTCGTAGAAGACGAACTTCGGATCCGCTAGCTGGTTCCAGGAGAAGTCCACCGTCTCCGTCTTCTGCAATTGGTAAAAGAAACAAGTTTGAGGAATACATATATAAGTTACACATAAGTCAGTGACTTCACTGTTCTCCTCTCACCTCTGTGATTTCCACTTGTCGTCCGGCAAAGTCAAGAAGCTTCCCTGAAAAACACAGACACACGATCTGAAATCAACTCTTCAGTCTTACTGTGAACCCTGCAGGTCTCATGAAGACAGAGCTGCTCACCAAAACATCTCCCGTTGATGGAGCACTTGTTGAAAGTCATGATGTTCTGCGTCAGGGTCCCCGTCTTGTCGCTGAAGATGTACTTGATCTGCCCGAGCTCCTCGTTGAGCGTGGTGGTCCTCGCCTGGGCGGGGGTGTCGCTCTTGGGGTAGTACATCTTCCTGTCCCAGTCGATGTAGAAGCTGTTCCCCAGGCGGATGATCTCCACGCTGAAGCACGCGGGGGTGGGGGGGGAGGGGTGAAGATGTCAAAGTGTGACACGAGAAAGAAGAGCAGACTTGATTCTCTCACCTTTTTTCATTTTCATACCTGACGTAGAGAGAGATGGGCACCACCGTGTTGAGGACGATGACGTAGGACCAGAAGGACAGGAAGGAGGAGAGGGCGGCATCAATACCTTGTTCCCGGGGGAGGAAGGTCGTGAACACGAAGCCCTCATGCGTCTCCCAGATCGCATTGCCGATGGCCATGACGGTGCACATGGACGCCAGGAAACCGAAGATCTGATCGATGATTTAAAACAAATCTCTGTTATTGAGAAATATTCCACTGATGACATCGACGAGGTTATACGATAACTTTATATAAAGAAAGTGTCCAGGTTTTAGTTTTTGGTACGTAAAGCTTACGCAGAGGAGAACAGGGTTATGACTTATACGGCATCCAGCCACCAGGGGGCGATCAAGATGTGTGTGTGTGTTAAACTCACAGACAACACCAGGACATTCATCAGGTGGTCGATGCTCGTCCGTTTGAACGTTGTCTTTCCACTGTTCTGCATCAGCTTGGTGTCGGGACCTGGACAGATTCGGGTCAGGACTTTGTTGAAGGACAAATCTGCTTCAAACCGTCGCTAATACTCTGTGTTTGCGGGATATTTGTCTTTAATTGTGATTTGCTTTTTTGAGTTTGCATTTAGTCGCACACGGGCCAACTGCTTCTCTAAGAACGAGGCAGCTCTTAAAGCGTTCCCGTCTGCCCTTTTGAATTGTTTGCTCTGGAAGGACATTATGCTTCAGGAGTTTTTTTAATTGTTCCCTTCATGCATCAGTAGGTTTTTTATGGGTTAAAGTCCATGTTAGTGGATAAAAGCTAATAAAAGGCGGCCTGGTGAAGTGGTAAAACAGTAAACCAAATACACAGCGATAGTCAAAGTCCTGTATAATCTAATTTCATTTGTTACTTCTTTATTTTTACTATATTTACTCATTATAATTTTATTACTTCTCCTCGTCGACCGAGTCTTTCCCGTCTGCTGCTGCAGGAATCTAACAGAGCGCTCACTACGCAAAACACAACTGCCAAACCAAGAGTCGACGTCATGACGAGAGTTCACCTCCGAAGATGACCAGGCCGAAGCACCACTCCGTGTTCCTCAGGGTGCATCCTCGCAGCAGCACCTTGTCGTTGTCCAGGGAGTAGGCCTGTCCGCTCAGAGTCATGGTGCCTTTGAATTTGTCCAGACGGTTGTTGGGAGGCTCACAGCGCACTTCACCTGAGGGTCAGAGGTCAGAGGTCAGCATCAAGGAAGCAGAGTAAAGGTCCAGGTAAAGGTGAGATAGAAAATTATATCTTTCTATCTTATATCAAGATGTTTTTACTTAAACTTCAAGAAAAGTCATGAACAAAAAAAATGTAGGACGCAAATAAGGTCAGAATTATATGAATTATCATTTTTTATTATGGTCTGACTAAGATTTAAAGTTTAATAATCTTGATTTACAAAATCAAAGTCATGGCTTCTAATTTTGATGAAGTTCCAGAAGAGAACAAACACAGAAAGAAGTTTTAAAAAGTTTCTTATGTCTCTGTATAATAAAAAAGATTCATTTATATTTCTTTCTCACCGTTGAAACCAGCCAGTGCGTCCACGCTGTCCCCCAGCTCTCCAGTTACAGTCAGGGCCTGTTTCACCTTCAGATTGGTTTCACTGTGAGGGGGGGGGGGGACGGGACACACACCAAGAGGACATGAGGACGATGTAACTCTGAGACAAAGTGAGACAGTCAGTGAGACACTCACCCGTCTAACTCAGCAGTTTCTACATACACCAGGTTGAGAGGCTCACTGCTGGACAGCAGCAGGAGGTCGGCCTGAGAAAAACAACATCAAATACACTTATTATAATTATGATATTTGTAAAACGTGAACTTCACTCTGAACTTTCTGAACTCACGGTAACAAACTGATTATTCTCCAGTTTGATGATGTCCCCAACCTGGACATTCATCCACTTTTCACTTCTCAGTCTGCCCGAAAGAGACAAAGCATGAAATCACCAAACGGCTCTGAGGCTGTTCCATCATCGCAGATAGAGAAAATGAACAGAATGTCAAAGGAGAAATCTGCGTCTTCACTCACTCTCCATCGATGAGGACGTCCACTCGGCGGTTGTTCACCTGATTGTCGCTTTTGTGTCTGTTCTACTCAGACGACACGAGAGGAAACATTTTATTTTTACACGCGTGGCTTTAGTTTTATATTCACTGTCATGAACTTGAGTGTGATTCCTCGTTAGTCATTGGAAATTCAGCTTACTATGTCATCGCTGGCGTCCTTCACGGCTGTCATAGACAGCACGAGAATCAGAGGGACGGCCGTGGTGAACCAGGAGAGAGAGGAGATTTGTGGGATTAGCTGTGAGGAGACACACACACACATTTTAAATATTTCAATACATTTAAATTAAATTTGTGAATCACGTGCAACGATATCTGCCATTTCATCAAGCAAAAAGAACCGCGACCTTTGATTTGTGGATCGAATCATGAAATTCTTTTAAAGGACAATCTACAGATTCACTTCTCGTTCGCTCGTGATCGGACGTTTGCTTTCTCGATTAAAAACCGTGCGACTGAAAACGTGATGAAGCCTCAGGACCCCACAGAGTCCACACTGACACGGGTAGCTTCAGAAAAGAGGAAAAACAAAATGTCCACCTGAAGTAAAAGGAGGAAGAGGAAGTAGGTGTTGGCGAGTCTCCCGAACTGCTCGAAGAGGTTGAGCGGCAGGAAGGTGAAGATGTTGTACTTGGAGGTCGTGATGGCGTTGTTCTGGAACCAGAGAGACGACGGTCAATCACCATGCACACAGAACCTCCCCTCGCTCATTTTAAATCTCATCATTTAAAGTTTCTGGACTTACGGCATAGTGGTACGAGAGGTTGAAGGGTCTGTCGTTAGCTCGCAGGTGTCTCTCCTCCTCTGTGCAAAAACAAGATTCAGAGCAGGACATGGATGAAGCTGAGTTTCTGCGACGTGACGCAGGAACAAGAAAACTTCAGTTCAGTGCAGATTCATGTGAAGAGTCAGCGCTCACCTCGATTTGTCTGTTTTCCACACAGCTGGGAAAAATACGACACTATGGATCCCATCTTCAGCTCAGATCGTCCATGTCCCACACCTGAGGGACGTTTGGACAAAGAGGCAAATCTTATACAGGCACAGACGGACATATAAGTGAAAGGGGAAACTCTGGCAAATATAAGGCGGAAGTCATTTATATATATATATAGAAGAGGATTTATCCTTTATTTATCTTCATAACAATGTTATTCTCGTACATCAATATATTTGCTGTCATGTTCCAAAATGTGTTTGACCAAAAGATTCAGATTTATTTTTCCTTTCTCTTTATTCTTAAGCTTGAAAATGTATTATGATGTTTCCAGGAAGTTAAGTGCATAAAGTTTTATTTATATATCATATTGATTCAGTTGCTGGGATCCATCACTACATTAATAATTATCTAATGTATACAATTACATATTTTATAGTCTAAATTCTGATATTTGTCTCTCGGGATGAGCTTTGGATATTCTACAAATACTGTGATACAAAGAGTTTTCTATCAAATACACTTTAAGTGAGAACGTGAGTTGGATATTCTGGTGATGAAACAAACTATTGAACCAGAGGACGGAAAGATGAGAAGAGCTGTAAAGACGCTCCCCTCACAACCCTTTGTACCTGAGTAAAGTTTACTGCAGATAATCCATAACGGGAAAGATCGAGATGATATGATGCGACCGTGGAGATTGAGATGATAAGACTCAAGAATAAATCACCTGATATAAAAGCAGAACCAAGCAAACGACTGAAAATGAAGTCTCCGGTTTGAGATTTGTAGTTTTCCTGTATCTTGGTTTAGCAGACGGACGTCAGAGGTGAACAGGACGAATACAAAATGAAACCAGAGCTCAGCGCCCTGAATGTACAGCCAACACATGAAACAAACAATTCCCCTGTTTTCTTTCTACAAATAACTAAATGAATAATATACTTCTCTTGTGAAGAGACAAACATGTTATTTAGGATTTATTCTGGTGCACAGATCAGGAAACAGGCAGCTCCACGTTTCCCTCACTGTTATTGTTCCATTGTCACGCTCACGATCGATCTGAGACTGAGGCACCAGGCCTCAATATCGATTAGTTATGTTTTCAAACTATTTTTTAAAGGTTTTAGAAGGTGAGAGATCTTTGTCCACTAAAGTAACAGACCTCCAATATTTCCCCAAAGTCCAAAAAACGAAAATAAGGCACATACCTCAAACAGAAATGAGATTCCTCGAGTCCCCCTCACACATAAAGGCCCAGTGAATGAAAGAGAAGCGGGAAAATGCCACAAAAGTCAGTCTTCCCTTTGCTTCGGCCGCAGATGAAGAGAATCCAGGCCCTCGTCCCTGCTCCGCCTGGACGCCCAGGCACCAACCGTCAGCTGGGGGGCCTCCGGCTGAATGAGAGACACCCCGGATTGGTCGACGGGTGCAGTGGTGCAGTGCTGAAAGAGGCGCTCGTACAGCAGAGGTTTCAGGTTCGTGCAGGAAGAGCTGGGTTCCCCCGGCAGCCAACAGCTCAGGGCTTGAACAAACAGTGCAGCGATCTTTGGACCTGGAGACGGGGCAGGAGTGGAGGGGCAGTAAAACACAGGTAACAGGTAAATGGCTGCCACCAATCATAAAGGCTGTGGCACTGAGGTATGCTACACACCTATTTTTCTTTATCAGCCACTTTCATCCGAGTCTCTTCTCACAGGAGCAAAAACAAAGCAAAGGATTTGTTGCATTTTAAAGGATGAAAATGAAAAGTTAGGACTCAGTGCGACTGGAAACTCTGCCTGTAAATCTGATGCATCGTCCGGGCTCTGTCAGAAATGTCATTTAATACCTCGGCTCGAAAACAAAGGAGCGCTGTGTCGTCCAGGAGACCTCAACATGAACCGCTTTCTGAATTACTTACTGTGATCCATCGTTTTATTGGTTAAAGATCTAAACATGTTTGTACTTTAACAACAGTGGAAATAAATTAAAATCCATTTCAGCTTGTACCGAGGGAATAAACACAGGTAGACACGTCTATAGATACCTCGAATACTTTATACAAAATTCATGAATCAAGTGTTTACATGATGACAACAACATTTCAAAGCAGTGACGATACAAAGAAAAACACCACGAAAAAAAGCAGTTACTGTGTTAGACTGAACCTGTAGAATATCGCAGTGATTTAGTGCATGGGTTAACAAATTAATAAAATACAGAAATTAACAAAAATAATAAATAAAAGTGAACATCTTGGCACGAGGGTTGTGTATTTTACAGAGTGGCTATGACATATTTGCAAATAAGAAATTATTCACACGGGTCAGGGAAGCGTAACAAAGAGAGTGTGATTGGTTCAGAAATGTGCACACACCGAGCTTCTCGTATTAACACAACATCCATCCTTCATTAAGTAGAACATTTTAATATTTCTCCATCGTTTAGGAACAAATTCACTGGCACACGTTGCACTGCATATTATCTCTGTCCGTACAAACACACACATCTTACAACGAGGGGAATATTTACAAAAAAAAAACCCCAGCCTACGTATAATAATTACAGTGTTTGCAACGGCAAAGATTAGAAAATAAAATACTACGTAAGGAGCATCACTTGGAAAACACGTTTGACATCATCGTGGGCAAAAAAGTGGCCGAACCTCAGAGGAAATACATAAAAAAAAACAAAATGAGGATTTCAAACACACACACTGAGTTTGTTTTCTCACCAAAGTAAGGCCACACGAGATAGAACCCATTCAACTTTGGCATGGATCCAGACAAAACGAGCCGATCCAGGATTATGTTTTCCTCTTTCCTTAAAATTGCGGAATGTCAGTTTTCCCTATTTCCCATTTTGATGAGAAAAAAAAAAAGAAAAAGTTACCTGACGGTTCTGTCTTTCATTTAACTTCACAACAAACATCAGGTTGTAACTTCAAGATGCGAGCGTCCGCGTCAACTCATCTCATAAAAAGAAAGAAAGAAAAAGGAATCTGCTCTTTCCGATTGTGCAAACGAAAGTAAACAACACTTTTAAACCGCAGAAAACACACAGACGTCAATAAATACATATAAAAAAAATAAATAAAATGGCTGCACCATCATGGTTGGACTATAGGCCACGTGAGCCACGAGTTGTTAGACGAGCTCATAAATAAATATGAACAAAAACGAGGCTTCAACACACACTTTCATTTAAAATTGATTTAAACCTTGTCGTTGTTGATTTTACGGCGTTAAAAAGTTACAAACGGTTGATAAGTTACTGTTTCTCCTAAAAGGTTAAAAAAGGAGTGGAAACCTAACGTGAGAAGGCACACATCAATACTTTGAACGAAGGGGGAACATTAAGGGTTATTACTTTTAGTACCTTCTCTCCAAACTTTACGTGATTAACCAGTAAAATGTTTCTTCGTCTTTTCTCTCACAAACCATTCGGTGTATTTTCACATTTACTCAGACCGTCACAGTGAAGCTACGGACTTCACACATTCACAGTTTTGAGTGTAAGGCATCAAACACATGGCCACGCTTTGAGGGGGGGGGTGGGGGGGTTAGGTGGTGGTGGTGGTTATTGCACAACAACACTCGGAAGGTGGGGGAACTTGTTCGGCCCTCTAGTAGGGGGGGGGGGGCCTGGCCGGCGTCCTCTGTTCCCTTGAGGCCGTGGCGTGCGCACTGTGCCACTGCAGCGTTGTAGGACGGGGGAAGGGTGGGGGGTTAAAAAGAGAGTGACCGGGTGGGTGGTCACTTCCTGGTGGAACAGCTGGTGAGTGAGAAAGGTTGAGTGAGCTTGTGTCTGTGTGGTGGAGCTCTGTCATTAATGTTTGAGAGCGTTTGTCCGAGTGCGAGCGAGCGAGCGAGCGAGGCGTCAGCAGCTCAGACACGAACAAGTGTCCGTGTGGTCGGATGCAGGAAGATGATTCCCTGGATGTGTCTCTTATTCTGAAATTCGGTGGCCCTCCTTCCTTTCTCTCTCTCCGTCTCCAGCCCTCCTCCTCTCATCTGCCCTCCTCGGCCGATCGCGTTTCCGACTTCAGCCTCACAAACTCCTTGGCCACGTCGTCGTTGGAGCGCTGGGAGAGGATCCGCATGGCGGTGAGGCCGGTGTCGTCCATGTGGATGCGCTGGCCCAGCGGACACCAGCAGGCGCAGTTGCCCTTTTCCATGATGTCCCTCAGCTGTATGACGGCCAAGCCCACCACTCGGTCGGCGCGGCCGAAGCAGTAATCTTTGACGCAGACCTGCAGCTCGTAGCACTCGAAGTTGTCCTGGTTGCCCAGAGCACTGCGGAGAGAGAGAGGAGCCATTAACACAGCAGCTTCAAACTACGACTCTAGATTTACTTTAAGTCTGAAACCAAAACTCTGAGTCGAGCTTTGGTGATTAAATAATTATTTCTTTACTCATTCATTTCAAACGCAGGTAGAACTGCTCCAGGACTTACAAGTGGAAGGTCTCGTTGAACTTTGGAGACCAGCTGTTGTTCTTGGACTTGGTCTGGAACTTGCGTTTCTTGTCGCTGAGGTGAGGCCCGATCATGGTGGTCTCCACGAAGGGTCGGAACATGCCAGACGTCTGCCATTTTAAATCGCTGGCTCCCATGACTGCAGTCACACGCAGGGGGAGGAAGAGTTCGTGTTGTTTAAAATGTCTAAACGTTTCTTCAGGATGATTATTATGAAAAACTCAAACTGACCTTTGACGGTGACCTTTCGCTCGCCATTCCCGGGATGAGTGTACAACTCAACCTGGACAGACACCTCGCCAATCGGCTTGTCCACGCCTGAACCTAACGCACCCAGACACATACGAGTCGATGAGCTTTCATTTAACGCCCATAACAGCAAAGAATAAAGAGAGTCAGTATGAGAGGGGGGGGGGGATACAGGGGGTTGACCGTCCCACCTTAGTGGCACAGAGACACTCAATGTACAAAGGGGGGAGTGGATGCGGGGGAGAAAAGAAATGCTGGCAAATGACTTCGATGGAACCTACCCCTGCTGGGCTGAATTTTTTCATTGGGTGTTAACCTAATACCCTTCCCATTGTGCACTGGCACAGAGGCAGCACAGGAGATAAGAGAAGACAGCGACAACACGTCAACACACTTCAGCCTCAGAGACAAAACATATCAGACACAGTGTTCGGCTGGCGCCCTCTCCTGGTATATTACAGGAAAGATGGATGTAAAGCTAAATACCTTGTGCGTGCTGGGAGGTGACAAAGGTCTTGATGAGCGTGTCTGTTGTCTGAGTGTAGAGCGACAGCGCGTGGCGGAGCGAGGACAGCTCAGGGCTCTTCTCCAGAAACGCCTTCTTCAGCCCGTTGCCGCCCGC